GGGGGGCAGTAAAATATTCCTAACAACATCTTGGGCGCTTTTGGCCTGCAAATTTCAACCCAAAGGTCTTCAATATACGGCGAGCATAGGTCATTCCTTACTTTACAGAATTACAGACTAAACAGTCTTTAAAGTATAAGTCAATTCCTCCCCCATGTCCATTTCTATTCCTTTGTAAAAACTGATAGCCCTCAATAGTCAAAGAACCGTCAAAAATAAGGTTGTCCAACTTCGTTTCAGTGAGGGCTAGAAGATGAATTCCAGTGTCGTTCAACAAATCTTTAATCTCCATTGTCTTGTTTCTAAGACCATTAACGTTTACTTGACCAAAGTGAAGGTGCTTCTTTGGCAACTGAGTAGATATGGGGGCAGGATTCAGTAATAAAGCAACATCGCCAGAACGTTGTAATATAAGCGCAGCCAAAGCAAAATTCGTGAGACGAAGCAATTGCTTCCCTGATATAAATGCCAAACCCATATGTTTGACTTTGACTTTCGTGCATGTAGGACGGGAACACAACGGCAACGGCGAAAAAACTCGTTGAACCAAATGAATGCAGAAGAAAAGCTGTCGTCTATTCTCCATCGTATAAAAATAGTACAGTTTAAGGATCAAGGTTAACACAAGGTTTATGATTGGGAAAAGTTCTACGACGCAATTTGAATAGCACTTGTCCCAATATAAGCGTTGTATGCAAGACGTGACGATCTGTATTTTGCCGTTGTAAACAGAGCAACGGCGACGTCTAAAACTTCCGCAGGATTTTAATTATTAATTTCTGCTTTTTTTCTTGTATAAATATAATATTAATAGCCGCCCTCGTTCCACTTTAGTCCAGCTTGTTGACGTTCTTAATAACTGTAATTCTTTATAATTTTAAAAGTGTAAAATTTAAGGCGGTTTCTTGTCACGTTCCGTCCTAGATTAAGCCACAGAATAAGAAGGTACAGCAGAAGTGTAACTTGAGTTGGTTCCCTTATTGTTTTACGTCCACGAAAATTTTAACTCGCTCACGCCATCCTGGCTAGTACAACTGGAAGTTTTTATCAGGTTTTGGTAGGTACAAAGTGCCGGTTGTACTAGCCAGGATGGCGTGACTGATGACGAATCGCTTGTAAAAACGCGGACAAATACTTGCTTGAGTTACACTTCTGCTGTACGTTCTTCTTCTGTGATTAAGCTTTGCTTAAGTTCGCTAATAGCACAGAATACTACACAGAAGTCCATCTCCATTGTTTTTTGCGTAAGCGTTATTCGTCATGATTCGTCACTCAGCAAGTACCGTAAACAGAAGCAGTCACCCCCCTGGACATACGCCATTTTTAGTATTTCCAGGAGGGGGACTGCTTCTGTTTACGGTACTTGCTGAGTGACGAATCATGACGAATAGAGCTTAC